ACATTTGTAGAGACCACCAAGTAACACAAGGAATGATGAGAGAGATGTTGAGACTAAGAAAGGATAAAAGAGATAAAAATATGATGCAAGGAAAAAAAAAAAAAGAGAAAATAGGACAAGTAGCACAAGTCAAGCCAAAGATAACAGGACTAACAACATAACCCAAAACAAAGAGAGAGAATCAGCAATACAAAGAATGATGCAAAGCAACTAAGGATTGAGTTTATCCTTTAGAGTTTATTCCTTTCTTCTTAAGTTTTAAATTGAGTATTAGATTGAAAATTTTTTACTTAAAAAATGACTCAACTCCATTTATATGTTATTTTTTTAGTCACATCAAATGTACTTGATTACTAATATTTGAATCTTGCATTTGAACAGATATACTTACCTTTACCTAAAAATTGAAACAAAATAAACTCGCACTACTCGCCCAACAAATAAATTTTAAGCTTTAGTTTGATTAGTTAGTTTTGGTCTATACTTCAAAAGTTTCTCACCTTTATTGAATAGTCAATTTATTTATTTAATTTTATTAAAATATTTTTTAAAACAAAGATTATTTAAAATTAAATACTCCATTTGACTTGACTAATTTATTTCTCATCATAAAAACTTGCAATTATAGAAAAGAAACTTGAAACTTACCTTTACAACCATTTTAAGTCATCAAAATTTATTAACATAATTACTTATTAGCAGTCTCAGAAATATTTAAAGTAATTGATACTTGTAAATACTTAATATTAGCTTTCCTGTTAATTCCTTTTAAATAATAAATATTTTCTATTAAAAAGAGTCTTGATTTAGTTGGGTAAAATTACTATAAGCAACAAAAAAATATCTTCAAGAATTTAAAATAAATACATTAACTGGAATATCCTTGTGCCGATTAATCTAAATTCTTGGTAATATAAATATTGATTGCATTGATTTAATTCTTCTAATCCATTATGAACCTTTTCTCATATAAAAAGTCTAACTTTTCTGTCATTTTACAAAACGGTGACTTAATTGTTAATTTACATTCATAACCATCTCAAACGACTAAATGATTATCTATGGTTAAAACAGCTTAAATACCTAACATGCGAAGTGTATGAATAAAATTATTCCAAAGAGATCAACAATCTTTTAAAGTTCGACCATTAATTTGACCAAATGGATTGATTTATTTTCTTGCTCTTAATTACGATCTTTTATAGTTTTATTACATGTAGAGTACGAGTGGAAACAAATAGACCTTTTTATCCTTTTGTGTAATATGAAAACAAAATTATTGAAGTAGTGCAGTTTTTAAGAAATTACAAATTTATAATTAGTCATAGATGAAAAGTGAGAAATAAAAAGCAAAGTTATATATGCGATATTAAAATTACAAATATATTAATTATTATTTAAATAATTCGATTTTTTATTTTAAAAGTTAATTAACAGGTTATGTTGAATATAGAATATACGAGTTATAAAAGTTCATGTTTTTATTCCCATCTCATTTCTCCCAAATTAGAGGGAAAGAAAAGTTAGCATAAATAAGCAAAAAGAATAAATTTTATTGAGTTTCATTATATTTCATTTTTATTTTACCATCCAAACAATGAAAAAAATATAAATCTATACTATTTTCTTTCATTCGATTACATTTTACTAATCTAAATATAGCCTTGAGTATGATTTATAGGAAAGGTATAATGCATTTTTAAATTATGGATTGCAAGACTGTTTATGACTTCAGTTTTTATTTTATGAAAAATAGGTAAAGTCTTACATGATTTTTGACTTATTTTTAAATTTTTAAAAAATAAAACTTGTATCTTCTGTATCTATCTGACTTAGGTTGTTAATTAATTTTAAAAATAAAAAGTCGTATACTATATGCACGATTTAAATAAAAATTAATGTATTTAGAACTTGGACATTGACATATTTGCCTTTTTATTTTGTTCTTTTTTCATCTTTAATTTACTCTAAATTTGTGATATTTTAAAAAAGAACTGCAATGTGTTGACAATTTTTTCATACGTTAAATAAGTTGACTATTAAAGTGCCACGTTTACGCTCACATGGGTTTTTAAAAGTAAATTTATCTTTAAATTTTATAAACAATAGTGTATTTAGTCTAAATTTAATTTAAAGTATTTCATATTTTTCATTTATTAAAAGTTAAAATAAATAAACTTGTTATAATATATATATCCTGTAGTTATTATAGTCAAGGATAAGCATAAGTAGTAGTAAAATATAAAATTCCTATTAGTCCTTTAATACTACTCACGTTGAAAAGTTTAGAGGATCATTAAACATATGCTAGATAAAAAAAAATAAAAAACAATACATTTCAATAAATTTTTCTTTATATATCTTTTATTTTCCCAAAAAATAAAGTACTATTTTTATGTATATTTTAAATTCACAAATATTATTTCTCGTTAAAAAAACTGGGTCTGTGGTAAGTTCCAAGCCTTTTTTTTTTTTTTTTTCTGTTCAAGTATATTAACACCAAATTTTTCTTGAGTTTTATCATTCTTTTGTAAAATAAACTTTAATATTTAAAACTTTAAAGAAAAAGTAGCAAGACATTTTCTTTTTATCGGTTTGATGGGTATTTTTTTTACTTTCTTGCTAAAGTCTTGTTTTTTTTTCCTTTTTAATTTTTTAGGGCTCTTTCTTACTAAACCTATTCAAGGTTGATTTAAAAAAACGAATGAGAAGAGTTATGTTATTTATACAATAGTTTTATATGATATTTTATATAATATTACTTTTTTCTTTATCTCTATCCGATACATCAGTTGTCTTATTGGATTTTTTTATTTTTTAGTTTTAGTTTTTCTCTTTTCTTTTGTACACTTTGTTGTATAAAAAATTGTCCAAATATAATTATTTCGCTTCTAAATAAATATTTTTATCTTTATATATATATATATATTATGTAAGAATGATTTTGCATAGTAAAAGTGGGTCTGTGATGAGTTTGAAGCAGCTTTTGTCCCTTCCCTCAATACCATGTTTTAGTTCTGCACCTCGTAATATCAATCCGGTTATTTTCTTTTATCACCGTGTTTTGAATCTCTCACTCCTTCAGCGTGTTCCAATTTCCCAGCAGTTTCTACAGTGTCGTCCTTCTTAAGACAGAGATATAGACTAAAGAGAGTCAAAGATGTTAGTAAACAGCCCACCGATTTTAATCTTAAATTAAATATCTACCATTAATTAATTGGTTTGAAAGATTATATTAACGCTGTTAAATGTCACATAATCAAGCTCCCTCACTCGCATGCAACCACTAAATACAGGTCTGGTCAACAATAACTTTACTATTAAAATTGTTCCAGCCTTGTAGAATTACTATATTTACTCATTTTTTAAATATTTTAAATATTATTAGTTAAATTTAAATATTTTTAAATCAGTTTATTATGATAATAATTAAAAAATGTTTTAAGTACTATTAGAAGTCGATAATTTTATTATACAATAAGGACACCGACATAGAGCCTGAAATCTGTAAAACGAAATAATAACTTCAAATTCAAAACTTCGATCATTGATAACGCCAAAAGTTTAATCCTTCCCAGTCCAGAGACAAAACATGCACTGTTTCCAACTTTTGAGCTTTCAACGTCATTTTTAAACTTTATGATATATCATTAATGCTATTCATACATTACAATTTTACACACCTCCTTTTATTCTTTTTTTTTCTGAAAAAAAAAATAAAGAGAGAAAAACAGACAAAAGAAAAAGTAAGTTGGCCCCTTCCTTTTCTCGAGATAAAGGTGGAAATGGAGTAAAAAGAATTATCTATGTATATGGGTCCAATAATTTTTATATCTTTCTTCAGTGAATGGCTTGATTTACCCTAAAATTTTGTTGAATTACATAATGTAATTTTATATATAAAAATTGACATTATATTGGTCGTATTAAAATTGATTTTAATTTTAACTTTATATTAAAAGTAATATGATAAATTAAAATTGATATTAAATTAAAAATACTAAATTTCATCACATATTTATTTTTAAAATAAATACAAATCACGTCATTTTAAATTCACATTTAAATTTTTTTAATTAAATACCAAATTAAGTTAATTTGCAAATCTTTATCCCATAACACGCTTAAACATTTCTTTTGAGACCTATGTGCAACTCAAATTGTCTCATTTTTGCCATGGTTAACCACATATAACTTTTTTTTAGTTATTAACAAAGTATATGTTGTGTGATTATAAGAATATTGATCAACTGCCAATAGTTTTCAGCAATGCATATTAGTATGAAGATATTATATAATATCTAATGTATAAGGAATATTATTTTCAATTTTGAGAAGAAGTCAGAGATCTGGCTCGAATTCGAGTCTTAAAATTTAGAAGTATATGCTTAATTTATTTGTTTAATTCCAATTAGTTCGATATGATAATTAAATACTGATAGTCTTAATGTATGTAAGGAAATAATTTTTTAAAAAATAATTACTTATTTTAATAAGTTGAATATAATTATTTTTTTTTAAAAAAAAACTGAACTAATAAACGCATACTTTGATGAAGAAAAAAGAAAAGAGAGTGTCTCTCACTTTTTTTCCTTATAAAGTGACGTGTGTAGGAGAAAAAAAGTGATTAAAATGAATGGATAACATTTAGCATAGAGACGAATATAATAATTTTATTGATGATATACATATAAAGACTTAAAAGTGTGGACATGATCATAGTTTGCATACAGTGGATAAACAGACATGTATACGACAATTCCATCATGCTTTCCATTTGAGCTTATTTAAAAGACAGAAAACAAAAGCAAAGCAGAAAACCTAAAAAAGGAACGGCGAAACGAAAAGAGAACGCTGTTGAAAGGCACTTAACATCAAATCAACAGATACAGACAGTCTCAAGGTTGGTAGTGATCGATGACAACCCTTTTAATTCCTTTAAGATCTTTTCACCTTTATTTTAGATATTGCGCACGACTGCATGTACTACGTGTTGCATTTCAACGACGCCGTTCCGGGGTCCATCGCGGTTCACACGGGCTAAAATGAACGGACTCCACCCTAGCGTCTAGCAACTCCGTTATAGGTGTGAAGCTCACGCACCTTGGCACCTTGTACTGGTTAATCGACGCGCCACGCGAGATAGAGTAGTCCATAAGCTCCTCAAACGTTCCCTTCTTCACCACTCGTATCTCCAACGGCCCAATCGAATGGTCTGAGACCCTTCCCTGTCTATAAACCGAGTTAAGCGATTCTTCCATTTTCAAACAACACTGACTCAGAACTTCATCACTGGGTGCATTTGACGCGTCCTTCATAAACAGTTCCCAGTAAATCACGTAATGCCCCGGGATGGATTTCGTGTCCGCGAAGCTCGTGTACTCCACCACGCTCGTGTTGAACTCTTTTAACAGCACGGAGGCGTTCTCAACGGCGTTTTGTAACTCTGCTTCGTCCGTTTTGTCTGAGTCAATGCTGAGCAACGCGTTCTTTCGCCTCACGAAACGAAATTTCGGAGCTGTGTTGTGGAACCCTGTCACTTGGAGGATGTCTCCAACACGGTAACGGCATAGACCAGTGTAAGCGGTTATAACGAGTTCGTAGAATTTTCCGACTTCAACGTCAGCCAGGTCGACCAAACGAGGTGGCGAGTCACGTGACAGGGTTGACACGGACGAGTCGTCGTGAGGCAAGAACTCGAAGTAGCCCATGTTTGGCATAATGGTGTAAGAAACCTCAGACGGATCGCAAATTGGGTTGAGGTTAAGCCCAAAATAGCACTCGGAAGAAGCGTACATGGTGCAAGCGAGAGGTAACCTACCGCTGTAATAATCGAGAGTTGGAATATACTGTGCCATGGCGCCAGTGACAATCACGTCAAGGTACTTTGTGTTGGGCCAAATTCTGGTGATTATGCGTTCCCAGTTTTCTCCCGAACATTCATTTGCGATGAAATTAGCGAGCTCTGGGTCTGGTTTCAGGATTTGGGCCATGCGTTGTGTTATGGAGGAGTCTGTGATTTTGGGGCTTAGGGTTCCGGTGGAGATGTCATGGGTTAGTTGCTGCCAATTGAGTTGGAGGAAGCCAATGGCTCGGAGAAGTCCAGAGGCGAAAACCGCACCGACTCTTAGGACTTGGTGGCGCATGATGAGGCCGCATAGCATTTGGGTGTACATGCTTTGGAAGGAATCGGGGCAGAGGATTGCTTCATCTGGGCTTGTGTACACGTTGTAAGGGTCAAAGGGTCTGTTTTTGAAGTGCACGCTTTTGTAGTAGCTAGTGAGCACTGGACGTGCCACTAACCCACTCGGAGTCTTTGTCTCTGCTTTGATGAATAGGAATTGGAGAGCCTTCCCCTTGTCCAAGCCAGGCACGTATCTGTGTGAAAAAATGCACGTTAATTAATAACTTGCGTAAAGGCAAAAGTATGTATAATTGGAGGATTTGTGTGTGAGTGTCTATGTTACAAGAAGTATGCGCAATTATAAACAAAGGTGCAGAAACGTACTGGTTCATCACTGGCATGAGAAGGCTGTAAAGTGATTGACGACGCCCCATATCTTCCTCAGTGGTTGGCATCAATTTTCTTTCACCAGCAGATGTTCCAGAACTGTAGTGACACGGTAGCTTGTTAATTCACATACATTCAAGCTGAATTTTTATATACACAAAAGGCAATAATATTAATAACAAGTGTTTTGTTTTTGAATTCTTCTTAACAAAAGGTAATGCTAGCAAATACTTTAAAATACTTATTAACATCCCTCTTTAAAAACAGAAAAACTTATTAACATTCTCTCCTTATAAAATAAAAACATCAAATTAAAGAACGATGTCTTTAAATGAAGTATGAATCTTTTTAATATTATTTTTCAATTAAAATAGAATTTTCATCTTAATATCTCATAAAATAAAAATAAATATTAAAGTTTGCTACGGATTAATGAGATATTCTCCCATTTTAAATAGAAAATGATACTACAAATATCTATTTTATATTTAAGTTTTGTAGTTAATTAATTTATATTTAAAAACTATGCAATACAAAGAGACAGGTATGGGGACCTGGTGAGAAACTCAGAGATTGGATGAGCACATATGATAGGAGAGCGGTCACCATTGGCAATGCGTTCAATATAGGGCTTCAAATCGTCGTATGAAACGACGGGAACCTTGGATTTGAAAGAGTCACGGTCTGTGGCTCCATCGAGCTGAAACCGTTGAAGGTATTCAGTCTGGGAATTTTGGGCCAGAATCTGGGCAAGTACCCTCTCTTGGACATTGTCAGTGTTTCGGGTCGTATCCTCAATGAACTGCAAAGCCTTTGCGTTCTTATCATCGCAAGAAGGTGCAAGTCCATGAGGGGATGGAGATAACTGAGCACCAGTGGCCATTGTGGCTCTGAAAAATTTGAATGACAGAAGAAAAAAGAAAGCTAAAGGGCAAAGGGAAGTGTTTGGGATTGCGAGTTCTGGTGGTAGCTATAAGTAGGTGTAGCTCTAGCTGAGAAGTGGATGGATGGAGAAGAGTGGTGAAATGGGAGAGGTATTTATAGAGTGCTCCTAGAAGGGGAAAAGAAATGAAGCATGAAGCATGTGACAGTGGACGTCATGGTTAGCGGGAGCAAACAGTACTTTGGAAGGACACAGAGAGACTTAATGGGGATCCGTGAGACAAAAGATTGTGTATGTTTAATTTGGTGTAGCTTATAGAGGAGACACGTGGGCCATGAACACGCAGGGATGTGACATCGTGGCCGACAGGTGGGGCCTGATGTGTCGCCACATCAGCAATAAGTTTTCCTAACGGAGTCATCAGCCCAACCATGCGGTCATTTGTTTGCAGGGTGTGTTGGTATCAGAAAGTGATGGGTGCCGGCTGCACCCCATTTGTATGAGAAGCTTTTACTTGCTATCAGAAAAGTATAAAGCTATACTCCACCAGAAATTCGCAAGTTACACCGTATAATTACATCTCATCTTACTATATGTGTTATAACCCTTTTTTTTCCCTCTACTCATGTGGGTTAACAGTAAAAATCATAGAGAACTAAGCAATTCGACATACAAGCGTTCCCAATCATGAAGTTAGTGATTCTGCGATATAAACGAATCAGAATACAATTAAGGTTGATGAAGACTTAGGAATAAGATTTAATGAATTAATTGAGATTAGAATATAGGATGAGAAAATAAAATTGGAGTTTTATATTATGAAATCAGAAATAAATAACAAGATTGGAATCTGCAAAGAGAGTGTCAAGTATCGAAAACGAAATTGGATTTATTAAAAAATAGCTTCACAAATTCAGATTTATAGTAAAAGTGTTGAGTATTAGCCTTTGTGAAAAAACTATTTAATTAGGGAAAAGAAGTTGACACATCATAGTGAAAAAATTATGCACAAACACATATTTAATGGAGTTTGAAAAGATTGAAGTTAAACCCCTTACTTCTGTGGCGTTACGTTGAATTGTTCGCGGTTATTAAAATTGATTGTAAATTTCATTTTCTGAATGTACTACAAATAGATATTGATAATCGTCATTAATGAATTAACACTAGATAACACAATTTTTGTGTCTATCAATAAGTATTTTTAACATTTTTGGTTAAAATAAAAAAGCTAACAGTAATAAAAGTGAAATTAATTATATAGTGAGAAGTTGATTAATGTTTTTTCTTAAAAGAATAAATAACAACTAGGGTGTAAGAAATTTCTATAACATCCTGTCATATTTATCTTTGAATAGGTATTTTACCAAGGATGTTTTAAAGAAAGAGGTAAATTTTTTTCTAACTAATAATAAATAATGTTAAACATTAATAAGAAACATTTAAAAATAATTATAATCACATAATACCGTTTTTTAATTTTTATATTTATCTTTAAAATTTCAAAATAAGGAATTAATAAACAAAGAAGTAGAGATTTATTTTTATATAATAATATTGAAGACAAGATATTGTCATATATTTAAGGGGGGGGAGGGGGGGAATGAAATAGTTCCCTTAACCCATTCGTGCTGAACAGTACGAAACCGACGGAACGAAGAGAAAAGGAGTTAAGGAGCTTAGGATGAAATTGAAACCTAGTTAGGCTTTTTTATTACACATAATTACGTAACAATTTATAAATGAATAATATTTTTAAAAAATAATGTAGGTCGTAGTCACGGTAGTAAAGTGCGTTCTGGTCATCACACGGCAAGATAATGAATGTGAATTATTAGTATATTTTGTATTTGATTTGGTTTTTATTTGAGGCTTTTGTTTGATTCTTCGCGTTAGGTCAATGGCCATAGTTCTATTACTTCTATATTCAAAGGGTAGGTAAATGGTTGAGTTCTTTTTTTCATTACAGCCGTCACGTTGTGACGACATTGTTTTCATCACTATATAATATATCCCTTTTTTTCTACTAAAACGATTTTTTTATTGTGTAAGAGGATATATAATTAATATTTAATAAATGATATATTTTTACTAAAAATTATAATACCTATTTAATATTATTATTTACATATTTTTATTATTTTTTTAATATATATACATATATATATATATATATTATGAATAAAATAATAATTATCCTAGTTTGACATTCGTACCAGTTAATCGATATCATAGAGGACCTCGCAATATTGCGTACGACGTTACTCAAAGAACCTCAGTAGCTTAAGAGGTTGAAACTGTAATAACAACCATGAACAACAGTTTTCTTTTAATTTAATATCAGACACTAGTTTCATAAAAATTATAATATTTTTCTATACTTTGTAGTTATTCTTTGAATAATATATCATAATTTGATTGTAAAGTTCTGTACAAACATGAGTTTATTTTAATTGAATTAGTTTGTTTTATGTTTCTTCTCCCATATATCAAAGCCATAAAAACAAAAGTAACAACTTGATCACCATAAATAAGAAACCAATAAAATATTTTTTTTCTAACATATTATATATATTTTTTATTAAAATTACATGATATTATTAAATTAATTCAATACATTCATAACATTTAATATTCTCCTTTTTAATAAAAATATTATTATTAATTTTGTACTATGTGTTATTAAGTATATATTAAAAAATTTATCAAATAAAAACGTGATGTAAAATGAAATAAATTAACTATATTAATTAAAAATAATTTATTATAGAAGATGAACTAATAATTGTTGATCTCATAAATCTTCAACTTACAATTTTACAAAAAGATTTTAATAAAGCTTAAGAATAAAGGCAAGCTTTAAATTTTAGGCTTGCTGATCTACATATGTAGAGTTGTCCCTAGTATGTTTGTTTTATTAACCTTATATATATATATATATATATGAAAGGTTTGTTTTACTAACCTTTCAACCTTGTCCAATATAATTATATATTAAAAAAATAACAAATTTTGTAATATATATTTTTAAAACATTTTTAATTGTTGATTGAAATTTATTAAAAATTAAAAAAAAATATTGATCTTACTATAATTTAATGTTATTTTCATTTCTTATTTAATATTTTTTGTTTTTATGGTTTTTAATAAATAATTAAAAATATGATAAAAAATATATTCCTAATACTATTAATTAACACAAAGCACATATTATATATTTATTCCCTGTATGTTTATCTTATTTTTGTACATTTCCTCTCATATTTCATTATATGCCTTATATCTTATTATGCTTTCATCTCTCTGAACTACTGATAAACATGGGGTGGTTGGGTTTTCTTATTCCCAATGTTGCATTAATATTGAAGGTTACATTAAAACATTTTGTTATTGATGTTATTAATCCGGTTTTGATGTAAATGGATCGGAGTTGCTTTTATATTCTCTTAATAAATACTTTTGTTAAAAATAAAATTATTTGTTATATTTTTATATAATAAATATTTTTGATAAAATTCATTAATATTTATTGATATTAATAAACTATCTATTTATTTATCTATATAATTTATTTTACGTGTTTTGAGTCTATGTATCTGACAAAGAAAGGGTAATAAAGTGATAGATATAACTAATAAGGTGTATGGGCCATATAAAAAATAGTGTGTAGACAAATGGTAATGAAGCCAGTTTACGTATACTTGCAGAAGAGTTATATTATTTATACAATATTTTTTACAATATCTTTTGGTATAATAATAGCTATCTTTATAATTTTTTATACAATATTTCATTACAATATTATTTATAATAATAGAGTTATCTTATATTTTTTTTCTCATTCTTATTTTTTTTTAAAAATGTACAAATATATAGTATTAATACAGTTTTTATTGGGGCTAAAGATACCTTCGTAAGAGATGACAATAGCGCTTGCGAAGTTTGTTTTTTCCTTGGAGAGCGTGGAGTTATATGTTTTGTTAGAAAAGAAATAGGAAAGATATAAATAAAAGTGAGATAGAATAAAAAGTAGATTTAATTACCGCGCTGCCTGGAAATTGATGAAATTAATTTTATTTATAATAATTAATTATAAATTATTATAAAAATGTAAATTTTATTTTTAATTAATTTAAAACATAAAGCATAATTTGAACTTTATTAACAGAATAACTTATTTTATATTATTATCAAATAATAAATTATCATATTAGTGAAAATGATTAATTTTTATAATAATTATTTTAAACAATATACATTATATATTTTAATCGATTGATAGTGTAAAAAAATCATATTGATAATAATTAAAATTATATTCATAAACAATTTAATATTTAATTTTTTAAACAAAGGTGAAGTTAACTTTATAATAGATTATAGTAATTCAAATTAAAGTCAAAATTGATATTCAGTTTTGTCACTAAAATTAAAGATAAAATATTTTATATATACATATATAATTGAGATATATATTGTTTAAATGCATTGAAATAAAAAATAATCAATTTTTCACTTATTAGGATAAATAGAAGTGTGACTAAAAAGAAATAAATAACATAGTTTTTATAATAATTACAAAAATTTACTTTGTATATATATTTATATTTTTAAAATAAAATTATTTAATATTTTTTGTTATAAAATATTGGTTTTATATTTTAAACAGATAGATAGAAAAATAAAGAAAAAAGATTGCCCCTTTCCCAATGGTTTTCTTTCTTTTTGTCATATGAGAAGGAAGATGTTAAATAACGAGTCCTACACAACTTGTTCCATTTTAGTTTCAATTTCCATCCAAAGCAAATAAAGCAACCCAATTGAAATGGAAGAATTTCAACCATACCACCCACTTTAATTCATTCTATTACACATGCAACAAACAAATGGGTAATGTTTTTTTTTTCCTGATAACAAATGGCTGGTGTTTTAGTTGAATAACTTTACTTTTATAGCATTTTTTTTATAACAAAAAGAGTCATATAAATAAAAAGGAGAAAAAGGTAAGATAAGATACGATTGAGGTAATAATTTTAAAAGATAGAATGAAATCATAACATTATTAGAAAAAAAAAACTAGTTAACTATTTTA